GGGGGCAGGCTCTGAGGCCTTGGCTTCCCACGCAGGTACATCCCCTTCTTCCTCATAATCTTCATGTACTTCAGCGGCTGCTTCACTGCCACCAAGGCCGAGAGCTCAATGCCAGGGGCGGCGCTGCTCCTGCTGGTGCCCAGTGGCCTGTACTACTGGTGAGTGGACAGTGGACCTGGGTGGGGTGGAGGGGCGCTCAGTGAGCCAGGCAGTAGAAATGTGCTCTTGAGGACAGAGCTGCTATGTGACCCCAGGTGAGACCCTCTTTCTGGGAGCCCTTGCTTCCTCTTCTAGTGGGGACTGTGACAGTGGCATGTGGTGGCCCGTCTGTTACCAGGAAGCCAGGCCTGAGTGTATTCTCTCCATCCTCATGCTCTCCTTCCCTGGGCTCCACCTCCCAGAACCCCAGTGCAACCTTGGGGCCAGAAGACTCCATCTCTAACGCCGCGCCCTGTAGAGCCCCGTGGTCTCAGTTTCATTCCCTGTGAAACGGGGGCAATACCTGCTTGTCTCCCTCTCAGGAGATGGTGAGAACCCAGGGGGAGAGAAACGGGCTTTATAAACTGTAAAGCACCATGACGATGACGAAGAATTCCATGGCCTCAGGAGCTCCCCGCCTGGTGTCTTTTCCCCTCCAGCTCTCTCTTCCCATTACAGAGGACCTCCCTTCTCTGTCATTTCCACCCTGAAGACAGGCTTCCCCAGGAGATTGCGGGTATCACAGGAAGTACTGGCCCTTCTCCAGTGGGAAGCCTTCATCAGAATGGAAAGGACCGCCTTTCCTGGGGCCAGCTGGGGTCCACGTGCAGAGTCTGTCCCCTGCCTGGCTGAGAGGGTACACAAGGGTAAATCTGTATGTCCCCTGAGGATAGGATTAAAAGAAATGGGTATCAACTACAGCAAGAGGGAAAAGGGTTAGATATGGGAAAGAGCTTCCTGCCCAATTCATAGCCATAGCGTGTTAGTGCAGTGATAGCTATAGTAGTAGCAGCAACCATTTGTTGAACAATATGCTTGTCCAAGTGAGAGATGTGCACAGCTCTTGTCAGTAACCTTGAGAGGTAGGGCCACTTGTGCCCCCTTTATGAGTAAGAAACCAGGCTCTAGGATGTCATGTAAGTTCCCTAAGGTCACACAGCTGCAAAGCTATAGTCCCTTGAGTGGAATGGGTCAGCATTGGGGTTCTCTCTCGAGGCAGGGGAGTGGACTAGATTACCTCATAGAAGCCCTCCAACAAGTGTTCCTGAGCTCCTGGCCATGTGCTAGGTGCTACCTTTGGAGCTGCAGGGAACCCTGGGAAATCTGAGACTGTGTCCCAGCCTTCAAGGAGACAGTAATGGCAACCCCCATAAATTGCAGGTGCATTCCCAAACTCAGGTGCCTATAGGAACCAAACTGGTACATCAAGCAGACTTCAAGTGAGGCAACGGAATGGTGGGGACTGTGGCAAACTGTAGAATAATGCTCTAATGGGGGCAGCTGCTTTCCCCTCTAATCAGTTGTTATAATGTGGGAATGAATACAAATCTAATGTGACCAGAGAAACCAGAAATTCACATTTTCAGGTACTTTGTAATTCAAATATTGGCAACAAACTCAACATTTTAAAAAATAGTAACTGAGCCAAATCAATATGCTGCATACGGGTTGTGGCTCAGTGGTATTGTTTCATGACCCCCCTCAGTAGATGAGCTGTTCTGGCTGGGGGGCAGCCTCGTATTTGGGTGGAGGGAGGGGTGCCAAGCAGGACAGGGCTGTCACAGCACCCACCTCACCTCGCCTGCTGGCTCCTCAGGTACCTGGTCACCGAGGGCCAGATCTTCATCCTCTTCATCTTCACCTTCTTCGCCATGCTGGCCCTCGTCCTGCATCAGAAGCGCAAACGCCTCTTCCCGGACAGCAACGGCCTCTTCCTCCTCTACTCCTTTGCCCTCACTCTCCTGCTTGTGGCACTCTGGGTCGCCTGGCTGTGGAATGACCCTGTACTCAGGAAGAAGTACCCGGGCGTCATCTACGTCCCTGAGCCCTGGGCCTTCTACACCCTCCATGTCAGCAGCCGACGCTGAGTCCCTGGCATCAGCCGCTGGTGCTCTTTCGGGCAGGAGATGGGCCATAGAGGGTGTCTGAACATGGTGTGTGTGTGTGTGTGTGCGCGCGCATGTCCACGTACATGTGTGTAACAACATGAGTGAGAGTACACATGGATAGGTGTGTGTGTGCGTGTGTACGTGTGCATGTGTGGAGTACATCACCAGGAGATTCAGTTGTTTTGGTCAAGGTTCTGTTTGATTTGGATCTCTCCAGGGCGTGATTTCGTTTTAGGCAGTGTGTCAGGCCAAGATACGGGCACTGCCTTCCTGTGCACCTTCCTGACTGGAGTTGGGGCCCCTCTCACTCTTGCTGATCAGGGCTGACCCCTTCTTCCTGGGAAGTCCTCTGGTACCCCTACAGGAGAGGCCTGGGTGGGCCCATGGGGAGGCGATTTGGTGTGTCACCCACTAACTGGCTTGGATGAGTATTTCTGTCACTGTCCTCGTACCCTGAAAGGGGTGTGTGCACCCCGGGTCCTCACCCTACCTCAGGTTGCATGGGGTGTTGAGCCACCCAACCTTGACAATCCACAGGCCAGCCCACTCCCCTAACCACTAGCCTGATCTTGGGGTCTGGCAGTGGTAGCTTTCCAACCACTTCTGCTGGAAGCTCTGTCTCCCTCCTTTGCCTCCAAGAGAATTGTGGAGCCTGCTTCTGTCACCCCTACTGCAGGGTTTGAGCTGCAGCTGGTGGCAGTTCTCAGAGACCTGCACTATTCCCTGAACTCCTTTGGGGGGTGGGTATCGAGGCTCTTCAGTCAGCCTTGTCTCAGTCTGAATCTCAAGCTTTCTGCCAGGGCCCTGGTCCCAGAAAAGGGAGGCCTCATTCCCAGCAGGACACCCCCCTCTCCCACTTCTCCCAGGCACTGCAAACTTCTCACCCAGCAGCAGGCCTCATAGCCTCACCTCCAGCTGGCACTGGCCCATGTGTGCCTGTGGGTCTCAGGGGGCCTGCCTTGCCTTCCCCAGGCCTGCCTTCTCTCCTGTGTTCTCAGGGAGCCCCGTGCCTCAGATTCTCCTTTCATGCTGGAGTCCCTCTGCAGCCCTCTTAGAGGTCCCCCAGCCTCTGGTCAGTCCCTGTCTGAGAGGTGTGAATAAAGGCAGTGTGAAGCCAAGCCTGGGCTGCTGCTTTGAGAATTTGGGAAGCAGGAGGGAGGGATGTCCCTAGGGCATGGGGGAGAGTGGCTGGTCTGGGGCCCAGGCAGAAGTGCTCGGCAGACCCCAAGGGCCCACTCAGCTCCGTCTGGCTGCTGGCCCTCCATGCCACTTTGTAGGATCCCTGGGTTGGGGAGAGGTGGGGCCAAGAAGGGCCTCAATCAGTGGGGTCCCAGCCCTCTTTGGAGGAGTGTGGGGGTGTGGGCCAGGATAGGGCATCTCCAGGCCTGCCCCTCAGAGATGCCACATGGGGCCTCAGCTGTGCTGTCAGCCTGGTCCAGAGGCTGACACAGAGAGGGAGCCCTGGGGGAAGTAGGGAGGCTGGTTTGTTGGAGGTCAGTTCTTAGCCTCGGGCCAACCATTTGATCTCTCAGGGCCTCAGCTCTTGATCTTCAAAGGTCTCAGCCTCTGCCCGCAGGCAGTTTCAGTCACCGGTAACTTACTGGGCACTGTTATCAGACAACACAGAGGAGGGGCAGCTGGCCAGGAGACTTTCCACACCATTAAGCGCTAGCGCCCCTACCTGCCCAGCAACCTCATTCGATACCTTCCCTACCTGGAGGACACTGCTGTCTAACCCCCCTGGGACCTATTCACAGAAGGACTTAATAGATATTTCTGATCAGGTGCAGGCCTAGTTGTGTGGGACTCAAAAGTTATATAATTTGAGGGGACCTTAATAAGAAAACAGTAAAAACAAAAAAAGAATCAAAAATTAGGGATGAAAGTGAGCACATTGACCCCTGAACAACATGGGGGTTAGGGGTACTGACCCCCTGCAGAGTCAGAATTCCACATAATAACTTTTGATTCCCCCCAAACTTAACTGCAGTTGGTCCTTTATGTCCTTGGGTTTCACATTGATGTATCCAAACTGTATTTTCTTTCCTTGTTTTGTTTTTTAGTATTTTGGCAAACTTGAATCTTTTTAAAATTTATTTTAGAGAGAGGAAGGGAGAGAGAGAGAAACATCGATCAGTTGCCTCTCGAACATGCCCTGACCGGGGATGGAATCTGCAACCTAGGTATGTGCCCTGACCGGGAATCCAACCAACCAACCGACCCACCCAGCCAGGGCCCAAACAGTATTTTTGATCTGTGACTAAAAACCCACAGATGCAGAAGGCTGAGCCTACTGTTGACCAGAAGCCCAACTGATAACATAGTAGATTATCACATATTTTGTATGTCATATGATTATATACTGTATTCTTACAATAAAGTAAGCTAGAGGAAAAAAATGTTATTAAGAAAATAAAAAAGAGAAAATACATTTACTGTATTTATTGAAAATAATCCACATATAAATTCAAACCCATATTGTTCAAGAGTCAATATATTTGGAATGAAAAATACCAGCGAATTATTAGAGGCTTAGAGATTTATGTCCCTTTTGACAGAGCTCTCCTTGAGCAATTCCCTGGAAATGTTTCCCTAGAAATGCTTTTCTTCCCCCCCCTCCCCCCCAATATGTTTT